CAGGAAAACCAGGAGAAATAGTTGGGTTTTGGGGTGTTTTTTTTTAATGACTTGAGCAAATGAGTTGGTGGAGGAAAAAGCAGGGAAAGGAAAACTCGGGCAAACCATCGAATCCGGAATTTTCCGGCGTTGGAAAATGGCGAAGCGTAGCTGTTTAGTCCTCTGTCGTCGACTCTCAATGGAGGTTTCCCACCTTCAGTCTCACCCGCGCAACCGGCACTTGTTTCCACGTATGGACAAGCCCCTCGCCTGCCGTCGCGATCGGCGGGCAGCGGTGCTTAACCAAAATGCGGAGCAGGTCTCGGCGGCCACCTGACGCTTTTGCCACGCGCCGGGGAGGTAAGGTCCTGGTGTTGCTACGAGTAGGCCCGCGACGTGCGAAAGGGCGTCTTTGTACGCAGGTGGCTCAAGAGGCGACCTTACAGAAGGCCGATACGTAAAACGTACGCCGCTTCCAGGGCGCGAGCAGAAAAGCAACAGGTTTTGACTCTGCGTGGGGAGGTAAACGTGATCATCTTTCCCCCTCGTGCCATTTCAGGAGCACGCGTGTATTATTTCTCGTCATACACGTCGTCGTGTGCGTAGCGACATAGGTAGTAAGATGCGACAAGCCCTCCACGTGCAAATCCTCGTTGTCTCAGCGCGCCAGACGATGAGGGGCTACCTGCAGTTCTCGCATCACCGACTCTTTCAGGTTTTGACGAATTCGTGTAGAACGGGCCAGCGGTTTTTTAACGTGGCCGAGTAAATGTGGCGAGATGCATTTATTGGGGAAGCAAACGGGTTCCGCTGGTGCGCTCCCATTCCCCGGCGCTCGCTCTGCCGCGCGCTGGAATGCCCTGTACCATGGGCGCTCCTCCCCGTCGGTCGGAGCGCGAACCCGCCGCCACGGGCTCCCTCCTAAAAACACCGCGCACGCACAGAGGTTCAACGAGCATGTAAATGCTCCCGTTAAACCGACACGACCCCTCGCGCGCTTCAAGTGAAGCTCGTGCAGCATTTAGAGAGCTTTTAGCTCACCCTGCCGAGGGAGCAACGGGAAGATCACCGTAAATGGAATTGAAAAAGGGAAAAATGAGGAAATTTTGGGGCCGGGGGGATTTGTCCAATGCCCTTCCGCAGCTAACGGCAAGAAAGGACGTCCGGCCACGCGTTGACCTTCCCTCTAGCAGGGATGCCAGCCGTGCTTTCTCCCGTGCCGGAGGAAAACCCCAGCCGGGAACCCAGGCGTCTCCCTCTAGTGGCATCTCTTCCCATCCCGGTCAGGTGCTGCCGAGACCCGTTTTCTCCGAAGTCAAAGGAAGCGTGGCGCGGGGTCCCCGATTCCCCGCCTCGTATTCATGAGCCTTCTCCTTCCTAACTGTGAGTCGCCGCTGTATTTCTGCGATTAAGGGAAAAGAGGACGTCTCTCACGAACCGACAAGCTTCGGTCATCGCCGCGGTTCCGGGCCAGCACTTCAGACCCTTCCCCGCGGGTAGTTTCGTTACCAAGAGAGCCCGTATTTTGGCCAGCGATGGGGAATACGTTTTGTCAGTCTTAACACTTGTGCCACTGGTTTCCGGGGTACCAAGTCCTGTCCCCGAGTACCACACCTGTCCCTGCTGTGCCTGCGTTTACCTACTCCACGGCGTGACCTGTTCAACGTCGAGGTTTCTGTTATTAAAACAGAATGTTCTAAGAACGCTTTCGTTTTAACTCCAATATTAACCAGCCACCTTTCAACGGAGCTGTTTTTATTGGGTAGCGAAAGGCTGCACCTAAAGCCAGATGAACAGAGCGCGCTACTCGCGGAGAAACGTGCGGGCCCCTCTCCCAACATACGTCCCTTCCACGCTTCGCTTTTCCCAGCCTGCACATCTAAGAGCAGTTGATGCTTCCTCCGTAAAGCTGACCCACAGGTCAGTTGAGGTCACGGAAGCAGCTTTTCGCCTTTCCTGTCCTCACCAGCACGCTGTGAAAACGGAAAGCGTTGCAGCCTAGACGCTTTCAAAGCGATTATTCGAGGCCGCTGCAGCTACCGTACCGCTGTCTTCCGTCCCGACCCGAAGGACCCGCAACACTTCAGGCTTTTTGTGAGCTGAGATGTCATCCGCCCGCTCCCAAAGCAAGCGGCTCGGGCGGTTCCCTTGCACGCAGATGCTGCCCACGCGGGAGCTCGATACAGCAAACCAGCGCGCACCTCGGTGCACAGCAGACGGCTTTGTGCCCTTTGAATTACAGTGATAAAAGAGGGCCGTGCCTCGACACCAGCGCCCAACACGCGGCCGGCTGCGCTTACTGATGCGCAACTTTAGTCTGTTTCTAAACGGAGGTGTCGCACAAAAGGAATTCCTTGTTCAATGCCCACGAACGCAACAGGCGCACGTACCGTTACCGTGTAACGAAAACAACTTCCCGGAGCGCTTCCTCTAGCAAACCTGCGAGAGGCTGGTTCACCCGGCAGCGTACAGCGAGCAGAAAAGACAGGCTGCGTGAAGACACTGTCTCTCAGCAGAGCTGTTTTTATTGTGTAGTGAAAGACTGCATCTAAAACCAGACGAAGAGGAGTATCAAACAGCGTTTTACCTAGTACGTACAAAGAAAGAAGCTGCTGAGGCTCGAGCGTGGCGATTCCTTGCTCAAACAGAAAAGAAGCGGTAACTCAGGCTTCCCATCTGCATTTTAACAGCTGTTAAGAAACAAGGTAACTGAAGGGTGCAGCTTCTCGGGAGACTGGCAAACAGAAAAGAACCGGGAGACACATCTAGTACGTGCCACGGGATGGCATGGTTAGACGAGAAATCAGCTGGCAGGTTTATCGCTTTCTCCGTTCTCTATTAGTTTCCTTTTCTTTTCATCCGTTTTCCTCTTGAAGATGCTATCTCTGTAGAACTGAAGCTCTTTGATGCTTTCCCTGATGTCATCGAGTGCTCTGAAAGAGAATTAAAGGAGGGTTTCAAAACGCGTCCACAGCTACATCGGGCTTCTAACGCCTCTGAAAAATTCCAGGCTGTAAGAAATCAAACTCTTGTCAGAAATAAGAACAACCCCCGCTAGGCAGAGAGCAATAAAAGCCCACCGGCGCTGACAGGCCAGGGAGTAACACACAGCTTACTAGTTGATGTCACCGTGGGACACGGAAGCTCCCGAAAGCCAACAGGTTCTACGGCTTCAGGTATTAAAAGCAACGCAATCGGAGACAACGGCGATGAGGGCTCCGGAGACCCGTGTCCAGCTCCTGCTCTGGCCCGTTTCGCCTGCTCAGACAGTAAGGTCCGCTCAGCAGCAGTAATCTTACTGCACGTTCCCGTGGTGCAGCACGCGGGCCCCCCATTCCGATCGAGACCCCTACGACAGTTGTCACCCCTTCTCTTTTTGTACCAGGGCCTCCGCTCCCGCCTAGCGCGGCCGCATCAAGAGCAGCGAGCTAAAGGCTCAGTGACTCTTTTTCACCGTCCTGTAGGACAGTCGCAGCTCTTAAGTGCCAAACGGCACCTGCGGAAAGTCCACTGTGACATTTCAACGTGCAGGTAGGTGTCTTGCGCCTTTTTCCCTACGTTTAGTCTGCGCAGATGGAAGAGTTTTTTTTTGCGGCACGGCTACGCTTACTGTGCATACAGTACACGGGATATACGGGCTTATCAAGGCCAACGGATGCCACAGGAGCCACAGGCTGCTCTGTTTGGAAGAACCAGAACACATAGCTTTCTATAAGCGTGGGTTAATATTGCACAGAATCTTTTCTTCCGAAACCTCGGGGCAACTGCAACTTTCAGGGACGCTCGAGATGCTGGCAGGAGTGCAACTCAAAATTAAGCCCTTCCACAGAAGGGAGACCCAGCTCTCTGACACATTAGGAACTCGGGGAAATAGCCAGGAACAGAACTCTCATCTCCCCCTTTGCAGCCTTCCAGTTTTTGCATTAGAAGCAGCGTGCCTGGAATTTAAAGGCAGCTCCGTATTCTCCTCGGGAAGAGCGCGGCTCCTGCGTGACAAGGAGGAGTTAGAGACAAAAGCCGAAACCTCACCTGTGAGAGGCCGCCTTCTTTGGTGCAAACTCGTATTCTTCTGGATACCAGCGTCTGTAAACGGAAAAATGCGCCACTTAGAAAAGGAAATCGGGACTCAAAAACACGTCTGGTGGCCGCTGCGGGTTTGTAACAGTCGGTGAAAGAATTTCCGTTTCACTGGCATCCAGGGAAGCCACAGCCCCGGGAGCCAGCGCACTGCAGCCACCGGAGCACGCCACTCACTGAGTACTTCACGGCGGAGCCGGCGCGTCCGCCCAAACAGGAGAGATGAAAGAAGGAGGTGGCTGCAGGGAGCCCCCCCCCCAGCAGCCTTTAACCTTCTTTTTGCAGAGCGTGCCTTAACGCCACTTCACAGGCTTCCCGCGATTATCTGTCGCTATTGAATGTGAGGAATACTTACCTGCAAAGTTCTTTGACGGTGCTCACGTCAATGATCCTGTAATGAAGATGCCTCATGAACTGAGGCATGTATTTGTCAAGAAATTTCTTATCTGCATGAACAGAGTTACCTACAAAGACACAAAACAAGACGTCTCTTCAAAGATGTTACAAAGCTGCTACGAACGACATCTAAACGAGAAGCAGGCTAACCAAGTGGGAGAAAGATCATAGGGTCTGAAAAGCTATTCGCAAGCAGCTCCTTTATCCCGTTTTCTACTAAACGTGATTGTAAAGGTTTGTCAGATTTTCACTTCAAGATCACACGCGGTTTAAACGCGTAATCCCTCTATTAGTTCTTCAGTCACTACTCCCACGATTTCTGTCACGCAGGTAAGTATCAAAGCGTTATGCAAGCATCGGCTTTTCTGCCAAGTGAAACTAAGCATCGGTATTGATTTCACCTAGCGCTACTCCCGAGACCATACGCGAGTGTCCCAAGTGTAGTTCCAGCTAACGGGACAGTTGGGAGATTCGTTTTTGGTGTTCGGTTCGATACACACGGTGAGGAAAAGACGCCGTCGGGTCTGACGATGCCATCACCGAACCTCTCTTGACTCAACAGGTTTTGATTTGCGTGCTAGATCTCGGCACCGAAAACTAAAGCCCCCCCGCCACACGCAGCGGCGGGCCTTCCGGCACCCAGCTGGGAGCTGCAGGAGGGATGATATCGTTGTCGTTATTCGGAAAGAACATACTTTACCTGCAAGAGGACAGAGACCCGGGGGTGTCTGTTGTCGTACAAAGGACAGAAACTCATACTCTGCTTGCTGCAGTGAAATTCGACTCTCCTTCACAGCCTTAGTAAGGCCAGACTGCAAAAAAGAGCCAGCCGTCACACATCGGAAATACACTGCCGTGCCAGATACTTCCAGAAACGCTCACCAGCAAAAGATCAACCCGCCCAGTATCGTTTCTTCCCCAGCGTGCCCAGAAGTACCAACGGAACTCTGTGTTTCAGGATGCTGGGACAACCCCTTGCCTTTCTTCCCCGCTCGGGGCGTAAAAATCGGCACAAGGGAAAGGCCGTCGCAGAATAGTCCTAACGCCACCCACGTGCCTGCGATTATCCCCCCCCGCCCCCGGCTGCTGCGCTTTCTAGGGGTTCTTCTCAACTACCGAGACCTTGTGCAAGCCTCGTTTAGACGAGGTCCAGCAGAGCATTCTATTTCTCTCCGCTTACCCAGAGGCATCCGCCTCCTCAGCGCGGAGCAGCAGGTATAAACAAACAGAAGTAATCAGGATCTTGGCGTTAAGCGCTTACCAAGATTCCTGTAAAAAACGGGAAAGTTCCTTCCTTCTCTTTTTTTCAATAGTGAAATGTCAAATCTGCTGCAAGTGTTCTCAGTTGATTTATTTCCATCTGGCTACGCTATATATTTCCACGACTGTGCCGCAAAAATCTACTTGACAGATCCAAGTGGTGGTTAAAAAATTCATTACGTGGCTGCATTTACATCTGTATTCTAATTGCTTCTCCTTTCCCCAGTCAATTAAAACTAAGTAGCTCCTCAGGAGCAGCGATAACGTATGCTACCATCTTCAATTCACTCGTGAACTGAAGCCGAGTTTGAGTCCTCCACTGGAGAAGGGGAAAAGCACCCATCACGGTAAATTAATATTAATTTTCCAAACGCTTGCTAATCCTTCCTGGGGAGAGTGAGACGCCGAAGGGCGGGAGGAAGGGAGGGGTTACGGGTGTCTTAAAACTTCAGCCCTTAATTGAAAACTAACTTGAATTTCAATTCGTACTCAGGGGTTGGAAAATCCATTCGCTTTCGTGCTACTGGCAAGGGGGAAGCTTTCTTTGGTGGCTGCAAGAGCGAAAAATAATCTCTTGCTGCAAAAGTTAAGCTTTCGGAGAAAAAAATACACTGGGCTTACAGCGCTGAGGGGGACGGGCAAAAATAACAATCCAACATTTACGCTAAATCGGTCTGTTTAATCCTCCCAATGTCCGAATCTGCAGGGATAAACCTGCATTTTGTCGGCTCTGGACTATTCTACACTGATCTTGCGCCTGCTCTTAGCTGGGACTCCAAGCCACGTCTTCCCCTTCTCTGTCGGAACTGTTCTTGTGACTTGTTTCAGGCAACACGGAACGGGCTTCACTGGGAGCTGCCAGAGAAGTCGCCCCATCCCAGCCCGCAGCGGGGGCTCCGGCAGAGGCTGGCCACGGCCGACAGCTCAGCGAGCGGACCGGGGAGCCAGGCCCGACTTCTCAGCCTCACACTGAGAGGCAGGGTGCTGACCCTCCGCTTGTGGCGCTGGGAACCAGCGGCACGCATCCGAGCGAGGCATCCCATTCCCAGGCCCGGCGACGCGTGTCTCGCCCTGCCTGAAGCTCCCGCACGAGCCGTTGGCCTTTGCTGATGCTTCTGGCTCTATTCAAAGTTATGAAGAGCCAGGCTGCAAAGCACAGGCCCTTTTGAGGCAATCTTGCCACAGAGATACAGGATGAAGACTCAAGGTACGCGAACGCAATTTGCTGCTGCGCCATGGGTGACGTGCGAGACCTTGGGCAAAGGTCCAAGCTCCTCGGTATAAAAAAAAGCATGGGAGACGGTAAGTATCATCCTTCCTCTCCGCCGTTTGATCACATACTATGCAGCACAGGCGTTGTCCCTTTTTAGGTGACTGTACTGCAACTAATAATTCTGAATTACACGACAGTCTCATCGCAGCAAAGAAACAGAAAGGGCAGCACGACTGCTCCAGGAGGGTTACCTTCCCGTGGTGCTCCTTGCACCACTCGGACATGCTCTCCAGCAGCTCGTCGGGCTGATTAATAATCAGGTTAGGGCCCTGCCGAGAAGAGAAAAAACACACAGGCAATGGAAAAAAAAAGTTCCCTATCAAGCAGTCCTCCCTGCAGCTTCGGCTTCGGTCTCGAGCTGCAC